GAGAAAAATTATTCTCAGTTAGATAGGGAAGGCTTAGGCATCATTTTTGGTGTTAAGAAATTTCACAAGTTTCTGTTTGGTAGGGAGTTCACCATCTTTACAGATCATAAGCCATTGCTGGGCTTGTTTGGGGAAAACAAACCCCTGCCTGAGCATGCCTCACCAAGGATTCAAAGATAGGCTATCACACTAGCCGCATACAATTATGAATTGAAATACAAACCTGGATCTGAGAATAGTGCAAGTAGTCTTAGTCGTTTACCTTTAAAAAACCAAAGCCTTAGTTATGTACCAGAAGATGTATTTGTTCTTTTCACTATCATGGATAACTCCAATATAAATGTGAATGATGTTAAAAGAGAAACACAAAAAGATGAGTGCTTGATAAAAGTATATGAGTACTGTAAGAATGGTTGGCCTGAAGAGTCAGTGAATGATGACTTAAGGCCATATAAAATAAGAAAAATAGAGTTAAATCTAGAAGATGGATGTATGCTATGGAGGTCAAGGGTTATTATCCCTAAAATGTTACAAAAAGAAGTTTTAAGAACTTTACATGATACTCATCTTGGTTCTTCTAAAATGAAGAGTCTTGCACGCTCGTGGTTCTGGTGGCCACATATGGATGCTGATATTGAAAAATATGTAAAGCTTTGTTCAAGCTGTGCACAACATTCAAATCAACCAGCTACAGCACCTTTGCAAAACTGGGACTGGCCAATCGAACCATGGAAACGTATACATATAGATTTCGCAGGACCCTTCACGAACAAAATGTTCTTAATTGTTATTGATTCACATTCTAAGTGGTTAAAAGTTAAAATTATGAACACAATCACTGCAAGTGATACCATTATTGAACTTAAGGAAATATTTTCAACTCATGGATTACCTGATCAAATTGTTTCAGATAATGGGCCTAGTTTCACTGCTCATGAGTTTAAACTGTTTTGTGTAGCAAATGGTATTGAGCATATAACCACATCACCCTATCATCCTGCTGGAAATGGTTTGGCTGAAAGAGAGGTAGGCATATTCAAAACCGCTATGGTAAAAATGAGTACCGGTAACAAAATTTCTCTCAGAGAAAGAGTAAACAGGTTCTTAGCCAAATACCGCACAACTCCTCATATAACAACAGGTGTTGCACCATGCGAATTGTTATGTGGTAGGAAAATTAAAACTCACCTTGACCTACTACATCCAACTGTTCAAAGGTCTGTTTCCCAACATCAACATACACAAAAAGTAAATCATGACAAAACATCCATTGAAAGAGAATTTGGAGTTAATGATAACGTGTATGTGAGAAATTATGGGAGAGGGGGAAAATGGATGCCAGGTCAAATTGTTCAATGTACAGGACCTGTGTCTTATAAAGTGAAAACAAATGATGGACTTATTGTCCGTAGACATGCAGACCAGTTAAAAATAACTTGTGCAGATAATAAGTGTGAATCTATCAATCCCACCAAATCTGAACAGTTCACACCAACTCAGTTTGTTCCACAACCAAGTTCTGTTGATATGAGTGAACCAAGTATTCTAGAGTCAGAAAATGTAAATTCTGGAATTAATGATTTAGATCCTGGACTTCCTGAGCTAGAGAGTCCAGATGGTCAGAATCTTGAGTCACCAAATCAAAAGCCACTGAGAAGGTCAAACAGGACAATCAAAGTCCCAGATAAGTTAGACCTATGATTTTAAAGGTCAAGAGGACTTTGACATCATTGTTTTGTATTTTAATTATGTTGTAGCATATTTTGCATTTATTTGTAAGGGTGTAATCTACCAAATGATTCAAATCATATAATGTTCATGTTACAATATATTTGGTGATTTTAGGATACTATCATTTGTTCTATTGAGAGCTGTGTTGTTGTTTACTAAGGGTAAAGGGATGTAATATATTGAGAATTGTGAAGTCAAGTGAACTCACTCTTCTTGTATTAGTCTTATATTTATAATGTTGTTTTGAGTCATGTCCCCTGGTTTTGTCATGTGTCTTCCGGTTTCGAATAAAGCTAGATATACATCAACGGGGCTCTATCGTCCAGTGTGTAATAATAAAAACATCAATCCATAACAATTAGTACATAAAAGCTTGTTATTAAAACGTTTTTTATGAAAAAAAAAATTTAATATTGCGTATTACTTATTTAGATACGTTTTTTTCCCCATTCTTTTAATTTTTCATAATTTTTCAAAATTATCAAAAAGTTCCTGGGGATCCATTTTACCTGCTTCTGTGCGTTAGACACTTAGTAACTGACGCAAAGGGCATATCTACAATTTGTTTCATAACAAATTAACATCACCATAATGAGCAAATAATGAAATTTAAACATTCCATCATAGACATCAAATTCTCCTTCCTGATCAGCGTGGAATGTAGTTAAAGAATGCGAATACTAACATGCATACACGTCCTCGTTGCTGAGATCAAGTCAAACATACCAGGGCAACAAAACAATTTGTAAAGGTTTCATTATCGCGTTACCAATTGTGTATTATTAGTCGTGTGGCCTTGTTTTTACTTTCTCGTTAAAGAAGTATAAAGAAAGTATTGTAATCGTGCAAAAAAATAATAATCGTTTTACACCTCCCTGAGTCGGAAAAATATAGTTTTGCAATCTTGTCCGTATGTCTGTCTGTGTGTGTGTGTTTCTGTGTGTGTGTGTCTGTTTGTCTGTAAACACGCTAACTTAAGTACCGTTACAGCTAGGTTGATCACATTTCATATATAAGTATTATACCAAATTTGTAGTTCTGTATCATTTTCAACGATTTCTTGCAACCCGAAGTGGAACTTATTCTTTTTTTAATTTTTCAAAAGCCTATAACTTGAGTACTGTTTCAGATAGATCAATGAAATTTCGTGTGTAAGTAAAAGATCTACATTTCTGCCTTTTGCCAAATTTTGAGTAATTTCTGTTGGACGGAAAGAGTAATTTACGCAATTTCTGATTTCTCAGAAAATGCATGTGAATTTACAATGTACTGATAATATTCTGCACTATTATACAGATTTTATACCTCTATCTCTGTTTACTTTATTTCTCGTTTTATACCAAAAAATTACTCATAGCATAAGGCGCGATCAACGTTCGTGCAAAGTCTGGAAAATGTCAAGAAAAATAAAAGTCTGGTAAGCCATTAGTTTTCGGGCTGGCATTTTTTTTTAAAGTCTGAAAAAAAGTTAGGAGTTAAAATTAAGGGGATATGCGCGGAAAAAAATCACAAAGTTTCTTGTTTTTCGTCATGATGGGTTTCTTGCACTTTTGGATACTTTGTCCATTTTTGTATATAGAAAATAATAACTTTAAAGAGAAAAAAATATTTTATGTGTTTGAATCATGATTTTTAATTTTTTATGGCCCTATTAATTAAAAAATAATCAATTTTTTCCAATCTTACAAGCTCTCTATGAAAAGTTTTATATTCGTTATTATATTGTATTTGACATCATTGGAAAGCTGGATTTCTCATGTATTTAATAAACTTAATTTCCTACGTCTCGGAAACACCCAAAGCTTACAATCGGCTTTGCAGTTTACACAGATATGGTACTTTCCTGACCTAGTTTTCGTTATTTTTGGCTGTTTTTCTCAGTTCGCAGGTTTTTAACACTAAAAAGCCTACTACTTTTTTATTTATTAAACAATGCCAACCATATTTTCAGTAAATGTTCTTGATGCGAAAATACAACTTTTGTCACGAGGGAATTGTGATTGCTTTCATAGAAAAAAAGTATTTGGTAATTAATATGCACATTTTGAAACTTTTGAATACTAAAAAGGGTACGATTTTTTAGACCTTGTAAAATTCTTACTAGTAATTATTTCAAAAAGTTGTCGTGACAAAAGTTTTAATATATGCTGAAATATAAGCAGTTTAAATTTGATTGCTATAGATGCATAAATAAAAAAGCCTTAGCATTTTTAAAAGTACCGAAAAATTCAAAATGGCGGAGGTTTTTTTGGTTTGCCATGACAACCAAAATTGTTTTCGACCCTTTTTTTTTTGCTGTGTAATACTTACTTTTATATGCCAAATATGATTTAAGTATTCAAAAGGCTTTAGATCTTAAACTGTAAAAAATAGGAAAAAAACATAGCATATCCCCTTAAAAATAATACTTTTTCACGATGTCCGTTAGTCTACGGCGTGTAAACTTAAATGTGAATGTGCTAAGATTATTTAAAATTGTTCTTTATTCAAAGAGTTATCGCGCATGTATGCTGTGTACCTCTAGATTGTATACACTATTTTACATATCTGTAGTCATAATTTGAAGGCAGTCATAAAATATTTTTTTTATAAAAGAGGGTGGGTAAGTGGGACTATTTGATGTCATTTGTGGCTGTCTAGCTATTAATGACCATATCGGTTGGGGTAAAATTTGGCTAACCAACGTGACGTCATATTACTTTTACTCAACCTTACGGACACTTCTGTGTAAACGTGTTTTCCTTAACAAACAACTTCTCCCCCTTTTCTCGTGAGTCGTACATACCTCACGACTCAAGCACATTTTACGTGGTTATTTTGAGTTTATTACTGGAAAAAAATAACTAGATCTCAATCGTCTTAGGCTTTGACACAAACTCCCCACCCCCTAATGCACGAATATAACTACATTAACTAATAAGCTTGCAGATATTTAAGTGCGAAATTACAGGTTGGCACAGATGTTTAATTCATAAAGTAATTAAGGCTACGATGCTTCAAAACATTAGATATATCAGAGTCAGTCTCATTCATCATTCGTCGCATAATAAAACAAAGCTTTTGTAATATAACACCAATTTATGTCCATGTAACAAGTGATTACAGACAAAAACAACTGCCAACAGCTATGCAATCTGACTAGACTCTACAGTAAGGTAACATACATTTAACAGATCGTTAGACTGCTTGAATGACTCTAGAAAGAATCCTTGTAGAATACATGAAAAGAACGAAAAAGAAAAAAAAACGGCCTACAGGTGATGTGTAAGTGCACGAGGCGCAGTAACACAGCTCACGTGTAACGTACTCAGCGTTACTTAAGGTGTCTGGGTATCGAAACAACACAACAAAGCCTGTTTCGTCCGTCAGTTTATTGGTGCTGTTTCATACTTGTTTCTTTGGCTATTTTTCTGTATGATATCGATGTGATTATCTTTCAGGTAGGATAGGAAGGACATCCTTTTTATTGCAATCTTCTTCTTCATAACAATTTAGCAGAAGATTATGGTTCAAATATGCTGTGTTATTAGTGATTTGTTTCAAATGCTTTAATATACTTATGAATAAATCTATCCCGCGATGTTTACATTTTGGTAGGTCTAATTTTTAATTTGGGGCAATTTCAAAGTTATTTTAAGATTAAAGGTTGATTCAACAATCCGTAGAAGATTTATTTAATGATTGTGCAAATTTCACTAACTGCATTAGCAGCCACTCGCGAGTAAGGACGATGTGGATTATTTATGTGATGAAGCAAAAGGTCTATTGGGTTTATTTAAATCTGGGATTTACTAAACTGAGGACGCAAAAGGATATGAAGTCTCTTCACAAACTCAAAATTAAAAAGAATTGACTAAGTCCTTGAGTTCACCCAGTTCTGATAGATACATGACTCAAATTAGGGGAAAATGCGGCTGAGCACTGTGCTGTCCACAATATCTCTTCATATATCGAGGTCACAGAAACAGGTGAACTCCATTTCATGTGCCCAATGGAGAGGGTAATTGTACAGTATAAAGGGTAGGTGTTAGTTGGGAGTGATGTTTTGTAACTAATTCTTTTTAAATTCTTATTTCAATTAAAATTATTTTATTCAGTACGGTTGCGTGAATAAGCAAACATTCTCTCTTTCAATTAAAACAAATTAATAAAAAGTCTAGTGACAATTTAAGCGCAATTTCCATATGTTATCCATAACAATTTTAAATCGAGATAAATCATATATTCAGCAACGGAAATAGTTTTATTTTAATGAGTAGGCCTACACGATGCTTAGTTTTTTTTTAAAAAAGACAACTACATTAACCTATATCAACGAGTAGGCCTACACGATGCTCAGTTTAAAAAAGTAGTAAATATTTCTTGATTAATTTTTTGTGACCGAACGAAAGGATATTTTTGAAAACTTTCTTCGGATATATTGTTCTAAATTATGGCAGGAATCGATTGGTAAATGTTTCAAGTCGCTAAATGGTCTGGTTGCCGAGATATTGGCCAAAAACTGCATTTTTTCGAGGTTTTTTGGCTTTTCCGGGAAATCCAGGAAGGAATTCCGGGAATTATTTTGGCCCACAATCATCCTCGAAACTTGCTTAGCATATTTGCTTTTGGAACTAGTCCTCGATATTGCTTCGTTGAGGAGGAGATACAACTTAAAGCTGCGGACACACATCCATCCATCCATCCATCCATCCATCCATCCATCCATCCATCCATCCATCCATCCATCCATCCATCCATCCATCCATCCATCCATCCATCCATCCATCCATCCATCCATCCATCCATCCATCCATCCATCCATCCATCCATCCATCCATCCATCCATCCATCCATCCATCCATCCATCCATCCATCCATCCATCCATCCATCCATCCATCCATCCATCCATCCATCCATCCATCCATCCATCCATCCATCCATCCATCCATCCATCCATCCATCCATCCATCCATCCATCCATCCATCCATCCATCCATCCATCCATCCATCCATCCATCCATCCATCCATCCATCCATCCATCCATCCATCCATCCATCCATCCATCCATCCATCCATCCATCCATCCATCCATCCATCCATCCATCCATCCATCCATCCATCCATCCATCCATCCATCCATCCATCCATCCATCCATCCATCCATCCATCCATCCATCCATCCATCCATCCATCCATCCATCCATCCATCCATCCATCCATCCATCCATCCATCCATCCATCCATCCATCCATCCATCCATCCATCCATCCATCCATCCATCCAATCCCACCCACCCACCCACCCACCCATCCATCCACCCATCCATCCATCCATCCATCCATCCATCCATCCATCCATCCATCCATCCAGAAATGACGCATTATTAAACGCAATTGCCAGTGTGGAAATTGCGCTAAAAAAATTGTAACTAACGTACCCGCTGCGCGCGTTGCTGCGATCTCAGAAGAAAGGCTGAGGCAACATTTTAAGAGAATTGCATCAATACTTTACCGATCATGTTTATTTTAGACGCGTGATCTTCTTTTCTTAATCTCAGTAACTTAAATGTAAACAAAGCAGCCTCTATATTAACTCTACAATTTTTATTTCATAGTTATTGTGGCGAGTGTTCGTTCATATTACCGCCTAGACTTCACAGGCCACTGTATAATTAAAACCATAAGTAACATGACCCTTCATAATAGAGAAGTAGAAACACACCTCGTTACCGACCAGATGTTTGGGTCGTCGCGGTACTCTCTCGGGCGCCACCGCTTACAGCACCGCAGAGTCGATGGGTACGGCCCTAGTTCGGTTAAAATAACGGTTAAATTATCTAATGTTGTGTGCCACCGTGCCCCCATTTTAGAGCTTTTCTCTGATGAGCGTAATCTTAATCTACTCAAAGGCGACAATAAACATCAAGAAGACAAATAGTAATAGTTGCACCAACCTTTTCAAAACCAAAACTTGCTCATTTTTTTGACACTACACAACGTTCTGTTGTTAGTTTGGAGATTAGAAATTGTTATATTGGCGGATTGACTAGTTGTTATATTGGTGGATTGACTAGTTGTTATATTGGTGGATTTACTAGTTGTTATATTGATGGATTACCTAGTTGTTATATTGGTGGATTACCTAATTGTTATATTGGTGGATTGACTAATTGTTATATTGGTGGATTGACTAGTTGTTATATTGGTGGATTTACTAGTTGTAAGATTCGTGGTTTGAAAATGTCTCTTAATAAATCGGGAGTGATCTCCCCTAAACTTTCTCGAATATTCTTATATAAAATAACAGGGGATGGAAACTCGGGCTATAGACATGATTTTTAATCCATTTTTAATACTTAAAGTTTTAAAAATAGAATAAAATCTCGTAGACAAATTTATTGCACACCAAGTGAACGCCAAATCAAAAAGTGCATAATAGTGCGCAATATTATTAGTACTTTAAAAATTTACATTAGTTTTTTGAGAAATCGGAAGTAGCGTAAATTACTACTTCCGGTCAACGGAAATTACTCAAAATTTAACAGTGGGTAGAGAATTAGATCTTTTACTTACATGTGAAATTTCATTTATCTATCTGAAATAGTACTCAAGTTATAGGCTTTTGAAAAATTCAAAGTAGGAAAAGTACCACTTCCGGTTATCGAAAATCGCTCAAAAGTTGATACGGATCTAAGATTTTGATAAAGTACTTATATATAAAATTTCATCAACCTAGCTGTAACGGTACTCGAGTTATCGTGTTTACACACGGACAGAAAGACACACAGACATACGGACAGAATTGCAAAGCCCAGTTTTTCAGACTGGATTACGCATAAAACCTCTTAATTTTGATAAATCTGGATTGATAATTTTTGCCCGATGTGATGAAGGACTGAGGTGTAATACGGTGAAAATTGTTAAAATTTCAAGTGATTTTTGTGCACGATTACAATACTTTCTCTATACTTCGTATATACGAGAAAGTAAAAATTGCGTACATTTAGTTAATAATAGAAATAAAAAATTACGGGGAAAACAGACTTTTGAGGGTTTGTCAATAAATGATGTCCCGTATTTTTGTACGACCCCCCCCCCCCCCCAACCTGTTGTCACACTTTATTACAAAAAGTCCAGCTCACTCACCTATAATGATGTCACTCTTTAGCCAATCCCTTCCACCATTGTGTTTTTTTTTAAATATGAATATAATGTTATCTGGGCTGGTCAAGATTATATGTTGGTATTGATAAATTTTTATTTTAAAATAACGTACATGTTACGCTTTGCTGCAATTTTAAAAAATCGGGAGCGATCTCCCCTAAACTTTCTCGAATATTCTTTTATAAAATAAACCGGGAGTGATCTTCCCTAAACTTTCTCGAATATTTTTACTTTCTCGTATATACGAAGTATAGAGAAAGTCTTGTAATCGTGCAAAAAAAAAATATCGAGATTTTTACAAATCTCGACGTTTTACACCTCACTGATACGGAAAAACATAATTTTGCAATCTTGTCCGTATGTCTGTGTGTCTGTCTGTGTCTGTCTGTCTGTCCGTGTGTAAACACGATACCTTGAGTACCGTTACAGCTAGGTTGATGAAATTTCACATATAAGTATTTTATCAAAATCGTAGATCCGTATAAACTTTTGAGCGATTTCCGATAACCGGAAGTGGTACTTTTCCTACTTTGAATTTTTCAAAACCCTATAACTTGAGTACTATTTCAGATAGATAAATGAAATTTCACATGTAAGTAAAAGATCTAATTCTCTACCTTCTGTTAAATTTTGAGTAATTTCCGTTGACTGGAAGTAGTACTTTACGCTACTTCCGATTTCTCAAAAAACTAATGTAAATTTTTAAAAGTACTAATAATATTGCGCACTATTATGCGCTTTTTTATTTGGCGTTCACTTGGTGTGCAATTAATTTCATCAACCTAGCTGTAACGGTACTCAAGTTATCGTGTTTACACACGGACACACACACGAACAGAATTGGATAATCCAGTTTTTCCAACTCCATTACGCATAAAACGCCAAAATTTTTATATATCTGAGTTTATAATTTTTGCCCGATTAAAATAAGTCTTCTATATCCCGGATGTGATGAAGGACTGAGGAGTAAAACGGTGAAAACTGTCCAAATTTAATGTGATTTTTGTGCACGATTACAAGACTTTCTCTATACTTCGTCAATACGAGAAAGTAAAAATAGGGGATGGGAACTCGGGATATAGACATGAATTTTAATCCATTTGTAACAGTTAAATGTAGATGAATGTATGTTTCGAGTGTGTATCTTAAAAAGGGTTCCCAGAAAGAACCGCAACGGAAAAAAGCGCAACGGAAAAAAGCGCAGTGTTTCTTCCAGATTTTTTCTCCGGGGAGAGGGGAGGCACTTGATAGTTTCCATGGGGGGTGGGGGGGGGGAGGCAAAAACTGTTTCTTCAGCGGGTAGGGGGGAAGGGCGAAGAAGAAACTGTCGTAAGGGCAACCAGTCGAACTATTGCAGTGGCGCCCGGCGTCGTCTTGTTATGTTTAATAATAAATTGTAGTAGCCCAGCATAGCCCACCGTAGGGCTCTTTTTTTTAGAACAGATTCGCCAGGGTGCTCCTGGTCACAGGACCGCGTGAGTGGCGGAGGAAACCAGAGATTATTTCATGCATAACTTCAAGGGGGACGATGTATTTCTACTAACTCTCTCTCTCTTTCATCACCCCGGCATTTTAATTTTAAGTCCGTCTGTCTGTCTGTCTGTCTGTCTGTCTGTCTGTCTGTCTGTCTGTCTGTCTGTCTGTCTGTCTGTCTGTCTGTCTGTCTGTCTGTCTGTCTGTCTGTCTGTCTGTCTGTCTGTCTGTCTGTCTGTCTGTCTGTCTGTCTGTCTGTCTGTCTGTCTGTCTGTCTGTCTGTCTGTCTGTCTGTCTGTCTGCCTGCCTGTCTGTCTGTCTGCCTATCAGCCCGCCCGCCCACCCACCCACCCACGAGCTGGGGGCCGAACGCGGCGCCTCAAATGTAGTGAAAGTGTAT